CGCAACCTGTAGGTGTTGTGAACGATGTGTTCACCGGTGTACTCCATCCCCCACATGGTTGCCTATTAGGACATTTATTGTTGAGGAATCCCCTTAGCAGTAGTGTCCGTCCCGATGATGATCCTTAGGCTAGGTCCCTTATGATAGGTGTTTAGGGACGTAAAGTGAGGATAACGGGAACGGGTAATCGGGTTATTGTTGATTGATGAAATTAATAAACTTATTTATTGTGGGTTGAAAACCCTATGTGCTCACCAGGCTCCCAAGCCTGACCCACTCAGTTTTATGTATTACAGGAAGTGGCGCATGAGCATAGGTGTGATGTTTTGGACGAGGGATTACGGATATAGGCCTGTAGATATGAAATAATGTAGTAAGGCTTATATTGTACTGTTTATACTTTTGATCTGTACGAACATGACATCCCGAGTCTTTTAATGAAATACATTTCTATGGAAATGCTTTTGATAAATCCTTATCATATTATTGTTTTGGGACAAATTCCGCAACCCTTTTATTAAAAGATAACTCTGATTTTGAAATAAAGTATAAACGAAACCGGTCTTTTCTGGCCGTGATTTTGGGGATGTCACAAATTGTATATGTATTTTAAATCTACGATCATGTTGGGGTAAAACATGGGTAGATGTAATAGATGGAATATGAGTTGGATGATGAGTTGAGAGGTGTTATAGACCACGAGGTGAGGGTGAGAGGTGGACGATGTGAGAAGCCTTTCTCAAATGATGGCCCCATCATTCAGCAGAGTATGGATGACAGCCACGAACTATTCTAGACAGTCCAGTGGAACACTAGCAGGCTCGCAACATGTAGGTGTTGTGAACTATGCGTTCACCCGGTGTACTCTAAACCCTGGCGTCCATGCAGACTTGGTGCTTAAACCCTGGTGATCATGCAGATTTGATGCCTAAACCTTGGTGATCATGCAGACTTGATACCTAAACCTTGGTGATCATGCAGACTTGATGCCTAAACCCTGGCGACTATACGGACTTAGTGCCTAAGCCCTGGCGACTATGCAGACTTAGTGTCCGTTGTGTAAACCGTGGCAACGATGGAGTTCGTGCTGATTCCTTAGGATGATCCTTAGGAATGAATGAACGAGGAATAGCTGATTCTTAGGGTAGATCTTTAAGACTAAAAAAGATAATGGGGATGGGTAATTGGGTTGATTGTTTGATTGTTTAAACATAATAATTATATTATTGTGGGTTGAAAACCCTATGTACTCACCAGGTTTCCCAACCTGACCCACTCAGTTCATTTATATCACAGGTGTCGATATGAAGTGACATTACACTGAGAGATTAAGGAGATATAGATCACTAGTGTAAATGAATGTAAGTTTTCTTTATGCTTATGTTTATGTATTGACGATGACATCCCAAATATTTTAAAATGAATAAAATACGTTTCTTCGAAAATGTTGATAACGTATTTATCGTGTTTTTCTGGGAATAAATTCTGCAACATTTTTATTAAAAGAGGTACTCTGATTTTTATAAAGCATAAACAAAATCGGTCTTTTGTGATCAGGAAAATAGGGATGGCACACACACACACATATGTATGTATGTGTGTGTGTGTGTGTGTGTGTGTGTATATATATATATATATATATATATATATATATATATATATATATATATATATATATATATGGAAAAGTGAATATACCCTTAAGGGTATATAACCTTAGGTACCCAAACCCACCATAATTAGTCGTTTTGTTTGATATGTTTAATATAACGTTATTAAACTTCAACCCCTAACTTGATATACTTTGAAGATTTTCGAAATCTCACTATTATCATCCTTTTATATCACATCTTTTTACCGAACACCTACTACACTATATATATTATAGTTGAAAATAAGAATTATGTAAAAGGAAGATAAATGTGAAATTTAAAAAAAAAATCTTGAAAGTAAATTAAGTTAGAAGTTGAATTATAAGAACATTAAACAATTACAATATATATATATATATATATATATATATATATATATATATATATATATATATATATATATATATATATATATATATATGATACAAAACAACGTAGTATGATGGGTTTGGGTTAAACGTGACAAAAATTGACACGACACGAAACCCGACACGAAATAAACGGGTTTGGGTAAGATATTTCAACCCGTTTAAATAAGCGGGTTGATACGATACGACACGAAAATTAAACGGGTAAGGTTAGGGTTGAGAATTTCAACTCGAATATGACTTGAAAATGACCCGTTTATTTATATACAAACTTTTTGAATTATTTAAATAAACTAGAAAGATATAAAACCAAAACCATAAGTAAAAGAAAACCTTCGAATTGAATCGTTTTGTAATGTTGAAATGACTTAGCCATCTAGATTAAAACTTAATTTCATTTTTTCTATTCTCTCCCAAACTACTCAGTTTCATTCACCACTCTCACATCCTCGCGACCTTTTCATCCGCCTCCCAAACTCCCACTCTTTTAATTTTGTCATATGAACTTGCTATGACTTCATCTATTCTGCCTCCAAACTATTAGTTTTTCCTCTCCGCCTACCCAACTCCTACTCTTTTAACATGTTCAATCTTTTAACCTTACATGACACGTCATGGTTCTAGGTATAGCCCTAACCCAAAACCCGACACGAACACGACATGAAAATAAACGGGTTGACACGACATAACATGTTAATTAAATAGGTCGGGTTAGGGTCTAGCACTTTCAACCCGTTTAGTGTTTCGACACAACACGAACCCGACACGACACGACACGATTGTCACCTCTAGTTTGGGTACCTAAGTTTATATGTCCTTAAGGGTATATATATATATATATATATATATATATATATATATATATATATATATATATATATATATATATATATATATATATATATATATGTTGTTACAACTAATTAAAAAGGGAATAAGTGTCATGTATTTATACATAGTGTAATAATAATATCGTATTTATATTGTATAAGATTAGTAGTAAATATGTATAAAATAGTTAATGACTAAATATATACAAAATATAAAATTAATGATTAAATATATAAAAAAATCAGTGATTAAATATTTATAATAATCAATAATAATGGTATTTCTCATCAATTTGAGCAAGGAAAAATATCTTAATATCTTAAATGACTAAATATGAAGTAATGAACAAGATTATTAATGAATTTTTTTAAAACTAATTTCCAGAAGAAAAAAAATATCTTTCAAAATATTTTTTTTTTCATTTAACTAACAACAAAGTATTGCATAAGGTTGCATTGATGAAAGTTGTATTGGTCTCATAATTAAGGGATCTTGTGATCGGTTTCTCCGGTAGGATTATCCCCAGAGCCACCGTAGGTGCCGGTGATAGAACCTGTCGATTTATTCACATCGATAAAGGCTAAGTCTGCAATATTGTAAGTCGTTTTTCTCTTCCCTGTTAAATTTTTTTTCTGTGTTGCAATTGCAAGTGATACATGAGTTCAGTTAGCGATAGAAGTATGTCATTTCCCCAATCCCTGATTACAATAATCTAGTGTTAGGGTTCAATGTCAACCATTTGAATTCCAAAAAATCATCGATTTCAGTAAGTACACTACATATCAGTAGGAAGGGGATGATGGAGTAACAATGGCCAATTGGCCATTCACATTGCCTTTGCCTTTGCCCTAGATAGACAACTAGCACCTTGTCATTTCAGTGATTTCACCTAGTTAAAAAACTCAAAAACCTTAAACCCCAATTCATTTACGTAAATGCCACTGTAGAAACAAACAAGCTATCCATGTGGCAACCTTAGAAGAGCCATATCACAATTATTTGAGAGAGATAGATTTGGTAAATATCAAGAGGATGAAGTTAAGATCAGAAGAAACAAACAAGAAGTTGATGTTTTTAGCATCTCAAACCTTTCTTGTCTCTTCTGTTGTTAATTCTATTGGCTGTTTGCATGTTAGTTACCTTTAGAATCGTTCGTTTATACTTCATACTGTTACCCTGCTATGTGACATTCTTTTGAATCTTTTTCGTTCATCACGTATCATTATCTTAAAACATCGGTTTTGTCGATTCTGAAAGAACTTTATGAAGTAATGAAATCACCATAATCAATGGTCCAATTACCACAAGAGTTTTGTAGCAACTAGTCTGATTGCTTCCATTAGATATGGCTCACTGGGCCCTACTAAACGCCTTATGGGACAAACTATGTAAGAATACATCGACTTGAATTTTATACAATTATTAATAAGACTACGTAACTTGTCTTGTAAACTGCTCCAATTGTCTCTTCTGTGATGCAACTTGCAAGTTTCCCAAAATTGATTAGTGGGATTACAAATACCATGTTAAGTACATGTAATGGGGTGATGATATCAAAGCTTCTCTTTGTCTATGGGCTTTAATCTTAGTTTTAGGATGATATAATATATTAATATATGACTTGAACTTGTAGTTGAATATCTAAAATTAATTTCCCATGATAATAACAAGAAAAAGGGTGGTGGATATAATTGAATGCTATAAATATGTTGTAGTAGTTATTAACACAAATGAAATCTTGATTTCGAATATGCCAATAAGTAAGAAAAGAAATGAGAGTATTAAACAAAGAGAACTCAATATTTTATCAAATGCATGATAGAGGAAGCTATAGGTACTATAATACTATATACAAACTCTGGCTAGGTCAAACTATATATTTACAAATGAATATTATAAAAGATTGAATACTTTATTCTTTCCTCCGCGAATGAAAGATAACGCTCCAAATGGTTTTATCTAGGAGCCAAAAACTGAAAGTTGATAAATTAATATTAAAAATAAAAAAGAGTTGTGACCCTTTCAGTCGTTTGACAAGATCTTCTCTTTCTAGTTTCTATGCCTATATATAAATGCATCAAAATCCAGATATAATATGTATCAGAAACTAATATAGCTTCCAAAATCCAAACCCAATAAACACACTATCATGGCTAGAAAGAGAAAAGTGTCAAATGATCAAGACTCTGATCATCTTGAAGAAAACATGGTGTGGGAGGATGAGAAGGTTAAAGAACCACCAGCTGTGGCGGCATTAGGCGGAATCCGGCGAGCTCGGAAGCGGTTTGTGGGTGTTCGACAGCGGCCCTCGGGGAGATGGGTGGCAGAAATTAAGGACACGATACAAAAGATTAGAGTCTGGTTAGGCACTTTTGACACAGCTGAAGAAGCAGCTAGAGCATATGATGAAGCTGCTTGTTTGTTAAGAGGAGCCAACACTCGCACAAACTTCTGGCCTTCTTCTCAGTCAACTTTGACCACACCTGCCCTTCCTTCAAAAATCACAAACCTTCTTCTTCATAGACTCAAAGCCAGAAACAATTCTTTAGCACTTGCTGCAAGTGCTTCATCTCAAAACGTTTCCAATGTATCTATTAATCATCATGATGATAAGAAGCAAGAGGACTTTAGAGATGATGTAGTTGAGTTTTCAGATACAATCTTTACTGATTTTCTCAATGACACGGATGAGTATATTCCTGAAACCAATGATGAAAATCATGTTAAAGATGATTTTGGTATGTTGATGGAATCTGATAATAATTTGGAAGCTCAGTGTTCAAATGGTGATGTAAACAATGGAGGTGGGGTTGAAGAAGAAGAAGAAGAAGATGATGATGATGATGATGAAGGGAGCAGTGAAACAGGAGTGATTGATTTTGGTTTCATCGATGAACTTGGATCAACTTGTAACTTTTCTCCATTTGAGATAGCTCAAGAGATAGCATCAGAGGTGTACAATGAAGAAGGAGAAGAGCCATTAACAATATCGGAAGCGATGAAGAGGATGAAATATGAACGCAAGTACTCGGCTTCTCTTTATGCTTTCAATGGCATACCGGAGTGTTTGAAGTTAAAGCTTGGTTTTGGAGGGGGTGTAAATGTAAAATCTAGAGGAAGATCCAAAATGCAAAGAACTGTTCTTCATAAGAAAGCAGAAGAAGAAGAAGAAGAAGAATCAAAGAAAGATGTTGCAGAGGACTCAACAACAGTTTCTACTGCAACAAACACCATCGATGGAGAGTTGTCACTATGGAGCTCTCTTGATCTCCCAACCATATGTTATGTTAATTAGCTCAAACCTTTTATATAGTTTTAGTTTTGCCTAGTTCATCAAACTCACTCAATGTCTCTTTTTACTTTTTGAAAAGAAACGAAAAAAAAGTACATTGTTGTAATTCCCGATTCTTTTTTTTTTTTAACAAATACATGCAATAAAGTTTTACTTAATAAATGCGATACTAAGGTTACACATTACTTTACTCTTATTATAATAAACCAAAACAAGCTATTGATGGTTTTATATAAGTTAACAAAAGTTAAATACGGGCTCACAAAATTCGCCTATAAATAGAAGCCTAGAGATTTTTATATACAATACAGCCTAGCATTTCTTCACAAAAGATGATATCCCGGAGAAAGCCATTCTTCATACATATAAATATATATTTTTTTCAGGCTATGTCTTGTTCTAGAGAACACGAAGCTGAGCAAGAAACGCAGCACAAAGTTCCAAAAACAGGAACTGGGGTCCATTTACCCTCTGTAGATCAAGCAAATACTTTTCCTCACGAGTTTTATAAAGCTGTAACAAAACACATTTTTTTAACACGATCAGTATTCAATAGAGAAGTTAGTGTAGATTTGTTGTTGAAAAATCAAAATCATGTCTACCTGGACTTCAAACTTGACAACATTCGGAGAGGTTGAGGAAGCAGTGTCAGCAGCAGCATCTACTATGGTTGACTCATCTCCAAAGTAACGACTACTTTGCAATTGCATGGTGGTGTTGTGTCCATGGCTAGTGGCAGGATCCCATCTGCACTTCATGTTGTAGTGTCCTATTTTCTTCCAGTTAACATTCAGTTCTTGCAAAGCTTTTAATACTTCTTGCATTATCTCACGAGGATGCGCTCGAGACTGTCAAAACAGACCCCATTAATACAAAGAAAAAAAAAAAAAAAAAAAAAAACTTTACGAGGAAAATGAGAAAAATAACCTGAAGCCCAAGAGCCCATTTCCTTTCAACTTGGTTTCTCATATTTGTTCCTTGATAATCCATGTATCCAGATGAACGTGGTGATAAAACTGATACAGAAGCCTCATTTGAATTCAAACCTCTATACCCCTCAACTGGTTTTTGAAACTCCGCTCCAAGATAACTGTTTGAGTTACGAAACCTATTGTCCAGTAGCAAGTAATACGCCACAGTACCCTGTATGTAAAATATACAAAATTTTACCAATATTTTTCACCTAAGAAAATTATAATAATAAAAGTTATTACCTCATTTTGCACTCGGTTGCGAAGTGACTCGATAAGCCCATCCCTGTCAAACCCCATCTTAATCACCTCGTTAAGAATATCTTCATCGGTCTGCACCAAAAAGGGTATATTAGGAAATTGGAATTGCTAGTGATTATCATTATCAGTAAAAGGGTATATTTGGAAATGTACCTTTTTTGCTTGCTGCATGGAATCAGGTGGAGGGACAGCTAAGTAGCGAGGGAGATGAGCTTGGAACCACGGGTGTGCACGGATTTCAGGAATAGTCATACGCTTCATTGGGTCAACCACAAGCAACCTTGGAATCAAATCTCTAGCACCGGGTGACAAATGACTCGGAAGGGTATATATTCCACCCTTAAACAATAAATCAACATGAGAAGGGTATAAATGGGAATTTATCAAATATTAAACTGGCAGACCTTAATTTTCTTGAAAAGGTTAGGAATGTTTTCATCATCAAAAGGAAGGGTCCCACAAAGAAGAGCATACAGGATAACACCACAGCTCCATACATCTACCTCGGGCCCAGCATATAGTTTCCCAGATATAACCTATTTACAAAAAAAAAATGTTAATTCTTCTGATGCTGAAATTATTAGTCTGAATTATGTGAAATTTATATTTTATACCTCAGGGGCTGCGTAATTTGGACTTCCACAACTTGTTTTGAGAAAATGACCATCACGCATGATATTACTCAAACCAAAATCTGCAATTTTCACATTGCATTTGGCATCCAATAGCAGGTTTTCAGGTTTAAGATCTCTGTGGACCACCATATTACGGTGGCAATACTCCACACCAGATATTATCTGCCTCAAGAGTCAAGACATTGATATAAGTAATAAGTTTAGTTTAACCAAATGAAACAATATTTATATTTAAATATTTTCACCTGCTGAAAGAAATTGCGAGCTTCATCTTCATGTAATCTTCCCTTTTCCACAATGTAATCGAAAAGCTCACCAGATTTCACATACTCCATAACAACATAAATGTCTGATGGTGTTTCTACAACCTCATAGAGACGGATGATATGTGGATGCATGAACAATCTTAATATCTTAATCTCTCTTCTAACTGCAAATATATGAAATGAGTCACTATTTGTTTATGAGCATTGTTATTATTGTTGTAACTTGTAAGTTATAAAGTTTGTACCTTTTTCTTCCATTTCCATGTTTTTGATTTTGCGACGATTGAGGATTTTTATAGCAACTTTGTGTCCTGTTAATGTATGTTCTGCAATTTTCACCTTCCCAAATGAACCAATACCAAGTGTTTTCCCAAGCTTATAGTTGCGTAAGAACATGTCCACACTACTCCCACCACGCCCTCCTCCCTCCATATCTTATCCTGAAAAAAAAAATGGTGGATTTAACATAATATATAGATACTAAATCAACACTGCAAAAGCTTTGGTATGATAACATTGGGGGGCACTAGGTAACTTGCATTGAAAGTTTGCTACAAAAGGGGAAGTCACAGTTATGATTGAATATATCAAGATGGAAACATGTATCTTACAGATCACTTAAAGGGGAAAGTTGCAATTATCGAGGTATATTTCAAGAAGGAAATTGTTATAATATTCATGAAAGGAAGGAAGAATGTTGGGGCTGGAAGTTGTGTAACATGTGGGGAACATTATGAACACCTAAAACACTAGCAAGGTAACAAATGAACATGAAAAAAGGAGTAAAGTTATGAGTTGAGCTCATGTACACGATGTTAGTTAAGTGTAATTAAATTACACTTAGGGCAGTATTACTTGGATGAGTTAAGTACTCTTATTACTCTTTCTAAGATGAGATCCAAAAAAAGAATTTTGGATCAGCCAACAAGCTCGTGTTAGCACCCTTAAGGTAGATGAGTCATCTCGATTTTAAACTATGGAGAATGATAAAAAAAACCTCTTTAGAAGAAATGGAACTAAATCGCAACACACCTGCCGATTATAGTTTGTTAAGAATTCACATCGACGATTAGGTTACAAGTAAGAGAACAAAAAGCGAATAAATTGAAAAGGAGAGATTGGAAATCTGTTCGAATCATCAAACAAGGGAATCTCACATTAAACGCAACTGAAAGAATTATACGAAAAGCGAGATTCTTGAGAGATTAGATTAGGTTCCTCGGAGCTTATATGGAAACCGGCCGATTTTCCTAACAGAAACACATGATAGCCACAGATCTGAATTTTAAAATTAAACAAACCCCACGAACAAAAACAATTTCAAATAGAGCGAGGAAATTATAATTTATTGGAAGAGTAACAATCTTCGGAAATTCATAGACTAACCGGGTAACGAAAAGCACACGAACTGAGTCAAATCATGTAAAGTTTATGTCTCCCGATTACGACTCCTGGTTGCGAAATTCTGGCGAAAGGGCCGAGTGTAAAATCAATCACAAAGATTAATCGAATGAGTTTTCTTCGACATATCAACGTACGTACGTATGAGAGAGAGAGAGAGAGAGAGAGAGAGAGACCGATGAAATATTAGAAAAATATAATTGGGAAAAAGGAAAAAGGAAAAAGAAAAAAAGAAACAAAGGAATGGTAGACCTCCCTGTGACAAGGGTTTGAGGAGGCGGTGATGAAGAAGGGAAGCTTTGTGAAAGGCCACGCAACAAATCACGAAAGGGTGCACGCACTCCTTCTTCTCTCTCCTACTAAAAAGTAGACCTCACAATGTGATATTTGGGGCTTTTTTATGTCCCTTTTCCTTCAAAGTTAAAAAAAAAATGTTGTCAATTTCACTTGTTTCCCATGTAAAATTTGGCAAATGAGTTTTTAAATGGGTTGGTAACAATTTTAGGCTAAACCCCGACAAATTATCTAATTTTGAAAGGAAAAATAACTTTTGAGGATAATTAACTTTTGCGTTTGTATTCATTTGGTCTTTTTTTTTTGTATTCAATATACCATCGAACTTGTTGTTTGTGTTCACCATAACCCTTTTGACTTGTGATAGTCGGTCAAAGGGTTATGGTGAACACAAACAACAAGTTCGATAGTATATTGAGTACAAAAAAAAAAAAAAGGGACCAAATGAGAACAAATGCAACAATTGGTTACCCTCCTGATTCATTTTCCCTTTATTCATTTACAGCAAATCCCACGTCATCTCCTACTGATATTAATGACTTTATGAGATTCATTCTTGTTTCTCTTCAAAACATATCTCACGAAAGAACATTATTCATCCACGTACAACTTTGTAATGCACTTGAATATTTATTAGGTGAATCTTGACTAAGTAGACGCATTTCATGACTATATTTACATTTCCAATCAAATGATTTATCGTATCATGGATTCTAGACAAATCTACAAACGAGTGGAATCACAAGTGTTGTGGTTTTTTAGTTTACTTAGCTTTAAGATCGAATTCATGGGATAAGATACACCATCAATATGTACAATATCATGCTGCTTTTGTAGACACATCACCAAAATATACCTTGAGATAAATGTTTATGCTGATAAATATACCTCTCATACACAATCATATCCTTTTGCAGAGAGGTGTTGACAGTTAACCACAGTAAGCATAACATAGACTACGTTTTAACAAGGTTACCCCTTTGAAACGCTCTTCATATACATTATAACCAAAGAAGGTTGCAGTCTTTGATAATTTTGCAATTTTAATTTCATTTAACTTTTCGGGGAAAATGTTTCAGGAGGGTAACCAACTGTTGAGTTCGTTCTCATTTGGTCCATTTCCTTTTTTTGTACTCAATATACCATCGAACTTGTTGTTTGTGTTCATCATAACCCTTTGACCGGCTATCACATGTCAAAAGTCGGTCAAAAGGGTTATGATGAACGCAAACAACAAGTTCAATGGTATATTGAATACAAAAAAAAAGGAAAGGGACCAAATGAGTACAAACGCAAAAGTTAATTACCCTCAAGAGTCATTTTCCCAATTTTGAAAACCAACATTAGCTATGAGTATGAATTACCAATTTAGAAAATGTAAAGTTATAAGAGTAAATTACACGAATGGTCCCTATGGTTTGGGGTAATTTATGTGTTTAGTCCCTAACTTATTTTTTTAATTCGGAAGGTCCTTATTGGTTTGTTTTTGCTACGCGTTTGGTCTCTACTATTTGTTTATGTTATGTTTTTGGACCCTATTTTACCTAATATTATTTAAATAGGGAAAAATTATGGGGTAGTCAAGGTAAGGTTAGAGTGGTGTGGTTGGGGGAGTGTTTATTTAATTAAATTAAAAAATCAATGGAAAAATAGTTTTTTTAGGTAAAACAGAGACCAAACGCATAACAAAAACAAACAGTAGAGACCTTCCGATTTAAAAAAAAATAAGTCAGATACTAAACACATAAATTACCCTACACTATAGGGATCATTCATGTAATTTACTCTGCCTTTTCCTTCAAAGTTTTAAAAAAATGATTTCAATTTCACATGATTCTCATGTAAAATTTGGCAAATGAGTTTTTAAATGGCTTGGTAACAATTTTAGGCTAAACTCCGACAAATTTACTCATCTAATTTTGAAAACGAACGTTAAAATCATTTTTATATTGGACTAGTTGTGAAACCTATGTATTATATGGGTTTATTAAAAAAAATAAACAAGTATGAAGATCTAATAATTTAGAAATTTTAAATTTATAAGAAAAAAAGTAAAATATTAATTATTAAAACTGAAATTATGATTTATCTTTTAAATTTAAATAAATAAACAATTAAAATAATTAAATTCGATTTAGAAATTTAGAAATTAAAATGAAAGTTGTATTAATGAATTGGTTATACATTTATTATTACATTTAAGTATTAAATGAAATTTAACAAAATGAAAAAACACACATACACATACAAAATAACACATAGATATAATTTAATCTAAATTTACCACAAAATGACATGTGACATGATACATGAGAGGATGGCAAGTGTCAAATTATTTTCATTTGTTAGAGAGTTTTTTTTCTGTCCTTTTGAAACGGCGTTCAAATATATAAACATATAGAAAAAAATAATAAAATAAAATAAAAAATAAAGACCTTAAGTGAGAAACTCAAGTTATATATATATATATATATATATATATATATATATATATATATATATATATATATATATATATATATATATATCGATAGATGTGAAATACACCAATAAAGTGTAAGGGTTTTTACTCAAAAATAATCTAAAATTAGAGACAAAATTTGACGTAATTAGCATCAGAAACATTTTTGTTTGAATAAACTAAAACCATTTTAACTCACCAAAAATCATTTTGCAAAACTTAGAAATATTAGAACAATCATAGAAAATTAAGTGTTATAACCTTTGAAAACTTTAATTCTCATGAGAGATTAGAAGTTGATGAAATGTGACATGAAACTCCAAAAGAGAAGTTCTTTATAATATATTCACCATGCAAGATTAAACCATCAGTTAGTATACATTTGTATAAAGTTGTTCTTAAGTTTTAAGACTTATACCAAATAAGTGTTTAAAGAGAAGCAATTTTGTAACACCCCGTTTATTAAATAAATAAATAGATAAAGATTAATAAATGAATAGTAGTCCTAAAGTCCATAATATTTAGCGGGGTGTTGGTTTTGGGGAGCCAAATAATATAATTTGGATTTTCGGGGGTTATAGTGTAATTTTAGGAGTTATTTTGTAAATATTTTCAGAATTCATGAGGTGTTTAGTAAAATATTGGACTTGTTATGAAATGATTTCTAGAGGTTGGGGCTAAAAGGTAAAATCTGGATTCAGTTTGTAAAGATTTCCAAGGGTAGGGGCTGTTTGGTGAGTTTTGGAGTTAATTTGAAAAAAAAATTGTGAGGAGGGGTCAAACTTGGAAAAAGTGAATAATGTTTAAAAAAGAACACGGGTATAGACCTAGTGCTCCCTTCCATTCCCGTTTCAAGATACACTAACTGAAACCCTAACCCTAACTTATTTCTTCAGCTGTGACTCTTGTTCCTGCCCCCCTCCGGCCGCCATTACCTCCTCCGTCAAGATCGTAACCCTGATTCAATACCACAAATGATGTTGTCGGCGTAAGCAAAGACCAATGAGTCATCATCGTGGCAATGAGAATTCGTATGAGTCGAGCTCATTGTCGTTGTTGTCTCCCTCCAATATAGGTACCCTCCCATTTCACCGTCTCCACCTCTTTTGTCATCCCATGCATCACAGTCGCCACTATGTGGCTATTCCCTCTCGCGGTTGCATTCCAACCCCCGCTTTCCACCATGAGGATGGTTGATTGGTATGTTCCAGTGGGTGTTCGTGCCCCATGTGGGTGTGGGTGTGGCATTGTTGCAGTTCGGAATGTGTATGTGTGTGTGCTTTATCTGGCCGGAAACCCACCGCCACCACCATGGGGTGGTGGCTGCCACCGCTTCACCACCACCAGTCGTTGTATGGTGGTAGTTTTGCATGTATGTTATGGTGTTGTGAGTGTTTTAGTATAAGGGGACTTGTTTAAGCATTTCTTGTCTGAAGATCCGAAGAAAAACCCTACCACCACCACTATGAGATGGTGGCTGCCACCTCACATCGCCATTCTGCTGCCACCTTGGGTGGCTGTGTGTGCTTTGGTGTGAATTGGATTGTTATCCGAGATATTTTGATGTGTTTTGCCTAATATCATAACCACAACCACCGTGAGATGGTGGCCGCCACTGTGAGCCTTCGTTGACCACCACCACCCGAGGTGGCAGTGGGTGGTGCCCAGTGTTGTAAAAATCGCCGAGTTGGTCGATTACTCCTCCAAGTACTTGCTACTCGGCCCTTTACCGAGGCGACTCACGGAATCCTGAGTACTCCCCAATCGTCCCCTTACTGAACTAAGCAGTGCTGTAAAACCCGGTCAACTCGATGATTAATATGTATAATATACATAATGATTTATTATTTAACACAAAAACATGTGATTATTACCACATATATTTCTTAAATTTTCAGTAATTATTCACGAAGTGAGACCATTATGTGTTTTTCATTTTTTGTGTATTCACATGTATCAAATTTTGTTAATATTTCAATCAATTTAAGATTTTAACTTATGATTTTGACATATATAAGTTCCCAAAAAGTATTTCTACATGAATTACCGAATCCAAGTACTCCCCGAGTACTCCCGGGTGCTCCTGAGTACTCCTGAGTACGCGCTACTCGGTAGTCGGCCGAACAGGTACCGAGTAACGAGTTTTACAACCTTGGTGGTGCCCAACCTGATGAAACCCTAATTGATCCAAAAACTTAACCATTGGACTAATTAACTTGTGTTCGGGCTGGAAACCCTAATTAGGGTTTAGAAAACCCTAATTTTGGAGATGTTAGTTTGGATTGTCGGGACCCGCGTTGAAGTTGTTAATTACATTCTAAATAATACATAATAATGCCCCTATAATTATCTTAACGCAATATTGGAATTAATGGGTTAAGTAAGAACACTTAACCCTAATCATCATTTTATGTGAAAACCCTAATTTTTGTTTGGGCCTTGAGTTGGGCCTTTTTGTTGGGAT